AATTTTTATTAGCCATTTGGCGATTTTCTCTCACAAATCTCACAATTTACTCAGACGCTCTGAACTAAACTGCTTCCGCATCAATGACACGATAGCTCACTTGCTCTGCTATTTGCTTGCTCAATTTGAATAGGAACATGACATCATTTTGGTCTAGAATCGAAGTACTACATGTCTGCCATCTAGCGATAGGGAATACAAATGAGATATTACACCATATTAGGATCTACAGCCTATCTGATTAAGTACGATGTCTTGTCGCAATTTTGTGACTTTGGGGCTTAGAGGATTCAAATTTATTTTGAGCAATTTAGACACACAGACATCAGGAATCAGCGTGAGAATCATAACAACGGTGACCATCAAAAAAGCATGTTGTAGCCAATCAAAACTCATCGATGGCTCCCATCATGCATTGCGGCATGAATAAATTATGAGCAGAATTGTCTTTGTAATTTATTTTATTCTTACTATTTTCTTTTATTTTTGGTGTTTTTATGTGACTTTCTATTAGCTTGTTTTGTGACGTTCAGATTTAATCTGTTCATCTGAATATGCTGTTTGTCACCGTTGTTGAGATTCATACGCAGATTCTTGAAAAATCCTTTTAGTGCCTAAAGGAAATCCTTTCAAAATTGATAGAAACTACAGAATCTTTCGCTGTGGAATCACAAGGTTGTTGTAATCAATAAAGAAAGAACTAAAGAGGATTAGAACATTATCATCATCACCTGATGTCATTTGCTCTTTACAAAAGTCTGGCTGGCTATTACAATTCACTTATAACAGCAAAATAAAATTTTATATTAAGAAGTCAAGGGTCAATGGCTCAACTAAAGTAAACTCTGATCACTATAATGGTGACTAACAAATTGTGATTTTCTTCTTTGGTGATTCTGCTTGTTAAAGAGCAGGTCATATGGTGTCCTAATATTGTGCTGGAGTCCCCTACAACAGGTTTAAATGCATCTAAGGTCAGAAAACATTGTAATTTTCTCAGAATATACATTTTATATTAGAGTTATTTGCCAATGATTTCGAAACGATTCGTTCCAAGCAAGTTCGGAGCAAACCCCTCCCTTCCATAAGCCTACTCTGCTCTGATTGGTCAGCTGGCCAAGCCTGTTGTGAATGGCAGTTTTGCGAAATCGCCGACAAATGCCCGACATCGGAGGCAAATCGGTGCTCGTTCACGCGAGTGACAATCACGCAGTGTGAATTATCAAAGACACGATCTGAGGGAATCGCTGATGTGTTGCCGACGCCTGCGAAATATTTGGCATGCTAAATGTCTAGAGCTGTCGGCGATTCACAATCACGCTGTGTGAAATGAGTTCTGACTGAAAAACACAACGGTGATGACCTACAGCCAATGAGAGAACAAGATACAGGGCAGCGGGAAGTTCGGGGAGGAGTTATAGACCAGAATATCAGTATTTTAATAGATATATGAACAATTATATCATACAGAAACAAGCACAAACATTTGCTTGACCAGCCACAACATCAGCATAACAGTTACTGCTAAATTATTTACCTCCAAATTTCCAGAACCCCCAATCATAGTCACGCAGTGTGAAAACAACGGCGATCCGATGAGTTTGAAAATCATGCAGTGTGAACTCGGCATTAGTGAGCGCTACGATTGACAAAGCACCTTTACATAAAACAATAATATAGTGCTCCAATCCGTTCTCATATTAATGACATAAAATACAAAAACACTTGTGCAAGTGAATCGTGCTCACAGCTAAAGTTTAGCTGCTAAACTGTGACACTTAAAACAATAATGGTGGATACATTAGCCGAGTGCTAACATGACTAACTGATGAAACAATACAGTTTGTAAACCAAAATATGTCTACTGTAATGTTTGAAGAACGACAGACAAAAGACTCTCTGTTTTAACTTTTAATCAGAATGCAGAACAGCTGTATCACAGGCGCAGGAGCCTAACTAACTCGCTTGTCTCTCCCGCATTAACCCTATAATTGCAGATAATATCTGCTTTACCTGGAAACCTAAAGCTGCACTAGGTATACATCACATATTAGCACAAAAACTTGATTTTGAGCACTCAATTGAAAATGTACACATAACGCATCAATCGTACTTGCAGGTTGTGGTTCGGAGAGCTTGTTAGTCCAAATTAAGAAGATTAAAATCCAACGAAGATAAAATCCTAGATTAAAGGAGTCCTTGGTAAAATGACACGCACACAACAAAAGGTTCAAATTGTATTTCTGTGGTATCCTTGAACACAGCGTCTTCTCAACATGATGTAAACACACTAACTAGCGGAAGTGTTGTGGGCAGGTCAGACTCTGTTCGTATTTTGTGGGCAGGCTGGGATTATGCAAATGTGTTACCCAGTGACGTATACTGGTAACAGGCAAAAGATTCGAAAATATGACGACTCGTTAAGGCGATTCAGAATCGACTCTCTCTTTTGAGAGACAATATCTTTATTTATCATGCACTTTTTTGATTAACAACTTTGCAGACTGTTTTCATTTAAGGATAGCTACGTTATAAACTGCAAAAGAGATATTTTTCAAAAACCCATATGACCTGCTCTTTAACATCAGGTGTCTTCAATAATGGACAATCACCACTCAATGAATCTCTTAATTACCTCATTATCTTTAACACTGCTTCAGTGTTACTTTTAACACTCTGTAGTGTGGACACATATAGACACCCAGCTGTGTTAGGCCCTGTCCACACGGACGTGATTATTATTAAAACCGCAGCTTTTTCTACGCAGTTTGGCCATTCGTCCACACGCAAACGCAGCACCAGTTCACTGAAACCGAACAATTTTGAAAACGCCTGCCAGGGTGAAGATTTTCAAAAACTTGTGTTATCGTGTAGACAGCGAAACCGGAGTTTTTGGCTTGTAAAGTCAGAGCCTGCGTGGTTATCTCCGCCTAATGGAAACTTTTTCAGGCTTCTGATTGGCCAACATGGCTTTACGGTTGAGATTATATCACCACCTGTTGGTTTGGATATCTTTATTTATCATGCACTTTTTTGATTAACAACTTTGCATGTTTTCATTTAAGGATAGCTACGTTATAAACTGCAAAAGAGATATTTTTCAAAAACCCATATGACCTGCTCTTTAACATCAGGTGTCTTCAATAATGGACAATCACCACTCAATGAATCTCTTAATTACCTCATTATCTTTAACACTGCTTCAGTGTTACTTTTAACACTCTGTAGTGTGGACACATATAGACACCCAGCTGTGTTAGGCCCTGTCCACACGGACGTGATTATTATTAAAACCGCAGCTTTTTCTACGCAGTTTGGCCATTCGTCCACACGCAAACGCAGCACCAGTTCACTGAAACCGAACAATTTTGAAAACGCCTGCCAGGGTGAAGATTTTCAAAAACTTGTGTTATCGTGTAGACAGCGAAACCGGAGTTTTTGGCTTGTAAAGTCAGAGCCTGCGTGGTTATCTCCGCCTAATGGAAACTTTTTCAGGCTTCTGATTGGCCAACATGGCTTTACGGTTGAGATTATATCACCACCTGTTGGTTTGGCATGCTCTTGACAGTGCTTCATAGCATGCGTTTGCGTTTTCATGTCGACGGAGATTTTTTTTAAAACAGAAGAAGGAAAAACTACCTATTTTACTATTATAAAAATACCCGTGTACGTGTGGACATGGCCTTAATTTAACACCGGGGATTTTGCTGTGTACTGTGCTGCATAAAATATTAAACAAATGTGTCTTAAGATAATTCATATAAATTCAAGTCAAAGTCAATAAATTCAAGACTCTTGACAAGACAAATAAAGTAACATACAATTTTGTGTAGACTACACTTTTATTTGTTAGCCTATCTCTCTTTCTTTCAGTAGTGGAAATTTAAATGTGAGATTCTGGAAACTAGATCTAAATTTAGCGGGAACGGTTGGGTCGGGAAGAAAATTATTCTAAGCGAACAGCGGGTGAACAAAGAGTGAATATATAGCAGGAGCAGGGGTGTGGAATATAACCTTGCGGGAGCGGGCAGTAGCGGGACTAAAAAAATAGTCCCACGCAGACCTCTAGTTCCAATCCTGTATAAGTTAATCAATACTAGAACAGAATGAGTTTACAGCTACATGCATCAGACCTACAGATCTGAAGAACATTGGTAACCAAACAGCTGATGGTAGCCATTGATTTCCATGTTTTGTTTTTTCCATACTGTGGAAGTCAATGGCTACTGCCAACTGTTTGGTTACCAACATTCTTCAAATTAGCTTCTATTGTGTACAATAGTTGAAAGAAATTCATGGTTTGGAGGTTTGGAACAAGTGGAGGGTGAGTAAATGATGGAGAATTTCATTTTTGAGTGAATTATCCCTATGGATATTTTGAACTCAACAGTTGACTTGCATGTACTTAAGACTAAAATAAGTAAATGAGCAAAACCCAAATGTGTTACAAATACCCCTGTTCATACCTACAATTAGTGAATTAGGGGACTACATGTTACATCTGTTGTAACATAATAGTGTGCACATTTTACATTTATGCAGATACAAAAAGCGGTCCCACTTTATATTAGTTGGCCTTAACTATTATATACTTAAAACAAAAAATAAGTACAATGTATTTATTGTGTTTATATTGTATTGCAAAACACTTTTGCTGCTATTGAGGCGAGATGCGGGTAAGGTTAGGGACAGGTTTGATGGTATGAGTAGGTTCAAGGGTGGGTTAGGGTGTAAGGGATGGGTCAACAGTGTAATTATAAATGTAATTACAGAAATTAATTACAGATGCAATTACATGCGGGCATTTTTAAAAATACAAGTACAATGTAAAAACATGTATGTACATAATAAGTGCATTGTATCAAATGATTAATTTAAATGTAAGTACATAGTAGTTAAGGCCATCTGTTATCCAAAGCAACTTACTAAAATATTTCAACACAAGTATGCATGCTTACTATTGTACTTGCTAAGTATGTACACCTATCAAGTGCATATACCTGGTTGCCATTATAGGTCCAAGAGCCAAAGGTAAGGTTGCACTCCTGACTATCAAAGGGGAAATAAGAGACGTCCACCTTACAGGAACTCTTAGTGATGGCAGGGGAGTCCCAAGTGATCTCACCATTATACCTCAACACCACATTCGTGTCTGGGGGTCCGGAAGAGTCCTCCTCGTCCGCACTGAGTGAAAAACAAATATGGAGGTCAATAATTCAGTTTTATATGTATTCATGAATCAAATTTGAGCCTGTTGTCTATATTAGTTAAGAATGAATGAATGTTTACATTCTCATATTATGTCATATTTAAATTAACAAATTAGTATGTTTCCCTGTTTTATGCAAGATAATGTGTGTATGTGACATGTATTTACTTGTTATACAGAACGATGTCTGGTCTCCAAACAAGATTGCTGGGTATTCGAATGACCTCAAGTCCATCATACTCATCTTTATCCCAATGCAGATAAGCATCATGCCAGATCTGACGCACCCAAAGGTATGTGGTCAACACCTGGTTCCTTTCATCCTAGCACAAAGAGTCAAGCACAAAGCAAAAGCAACTTTAATTTACAAACCTGCACATAATTTTTGATTTATTTAGGCTCTGTATATATGAATTAATCAGTTATTTGTTTTGTGAATAACCACCTAAATCTTGGTCTATTTATCATACATAGTGATCACAGAAGACATGACTAGAGTTGTATGGATTTCTTTTGCATCTCCTTATGTCCTTTTGGAGCTTGAAACCCTATGTGCTTACTGTGAACATGTTCAAATGTGATAAGGTTAGATAACTATTTGTCTTTGAGGTAACAGTATGGGTTACATGGTATGTTAAGACCAAGTATGCAGTCACACAGGGTCTTGCACTGCAAGGTAAAACCCTGTTGTTGTACATGGAACACTTTCTCACAACAATGAAGAATGAAAGGAAAGAAAGTCTGAACTCTTGGGTTGCCCTTCTACATATCACATCTCATTGGTTAAAAGTACTCCTTAGGTTCAGTAAATTAATATTTGATTGAGTTTGATCAGGGCGGAAATTCAGTGCTTCTTGAATGAGAAATTCATTGTCTCTTTCTGGAACACACATAACAATGACCACCAGTATCTTATATAACCATCATCCACAAACAGACAGAGACACAAACACCGAATGTAAAACCATGCAATTACATCTGCATTAGAGCATTTAAATAGGTTGTTCACCCAAAAATGAAATTTCTGTGATCATATACACTAATTTGCAGAATTTTATGCAAACAGGTGTTATTGCTTCCATTGAAGCACAAGATGTACAAGATTAAACCGTTCTGAAATCATGCTGGATAACAATTTTTCAGAAACTTGTAGAGTTTATTCAGCACTTCAGTTTGAAGCCATATAGTAAGATATTCTTAAGTTTATATTAATTTGTTAATTAAATGTTTCACTCAATTTGCTATACTCATAATGTGTGTGTGTGTGTGTGTGTGTGCATATATATATATATATATATATATATATATATATATAT